ACCACTCAGTTTTTAGCCATGAACTTCTTCCAGAATCGTAGCTGCATAGCGCTATCTGCCTCTTAAATATATGGTTTTCATCGCACATCATCAAATGAGATTCATGCATTTCCAACCGTAGCTCTTATGTTGTCATCCCGTTGTCTTATCAAACTTTTTAGGTTAAGAAGGTATTTTTTCTGTTTTTTTTTTGTTCCTTGCTTCTTTGATCTTTTTTCACATGAGCGGTAGTGCTTGTAAGCTTCTTGGTGTTTTTAAGTACTGTATTTGGTCCATCTTCAAAATGAATTTCCACCCTTATTAGAATTTCGAGTCCACGCTTGCTCAGAATCCTGGAATCCTTTTTTATTTATTTATTTATTAAATTAACCAATTATCTGTTAATAATGGTACTTAATTACAAAAGGCGGAAAAAGAGAAGTTAAAAGTTAGCCAATTTAAGTATTGCATTCAATTAGTTTAAGAGACAGTTCAGGGGATAGGGTTTGGCAGAGGGAGTTATAATTATGGCATAAAACCCTAAAAGGTTCATGATAAGCATAATTAGACCTACATATGGGTAAACAGATAGGTCTAAAAGTACGGGTAGGTCTAGATGGAACGGCCAAGTCAATCTGACCCAAGAGAGTTTGGGAGTCAACATTGTCAACATACGCCATTGCATATTCTGCGATGGTGCAACGACGGCAGGTCAATAAGATTTAGCCTAGACCGGTAGGGTGGCAAGATTTTACCCGAGTCCCAGTTACAGTTACGAAGGGCAAAAATTAAAAATTGCTTTTGCATTTGGAAAGGTTCAGAAAAAGAAGAAGATTCGTTGGGAACCCTAATAAAGAGAGCTTGTGAATAAGCAGAGCATGGTACACAGAATCGAATGCCTTGCTGAAGTCCGTGAAAACTACATTAGTCTGCAAACCAATTTGAAAACCACGGTGGATTAGGTTAGAAAACTCAAGAAGGTTAGTCGATGTTGAACGATGTCTGAAAAAACCATCTTGCGACGGAGATATCAAGCTGCAACAAAGATGTTGCAGTTGCCGGGTGACCAGGAACTCAAGAAGCTTCGGGATGGCGGAAAGCTTTGCGATACCACGATAGTTTTCAATGTTTGATCTTGAACCTTTTTTGTGAAGCGGAATGATGTAGGACTCATTCCAAATTACTGGGAGACAAGACTGTTCCAAGGAAAGGTTGAAGAGAAAGGTCAAGGGTTTGCAAAGGGACTGGGCACAGTGTTTTAAAATTCAACTTGGTACCTTATCTGGACCCGCGGAAAACGATATGTCCATAGATGACAAACCTTCCAGAACAACGCTTTCCTCGAAAAAGGGCAGAAAAATGCTGTTAGCTTGAGGTAGCTGGTACGGATACGGAGTGGATGCGTTGTAAATATGAGACGAGTACGTTGTTTGGAAAAAGGTAGCGAATAAATTTGCAATACCAACAGCAGAAGCTTCTGTTTTGTTCTGGTAATGAAGGGACGGAGGAAAAGCGTTTGACTTATGCTTAGAGTTAACGAACGAATATAATTTTTCAGGAGCACTACAATAGTTTGTACTACATTGTGAAAGGTAATGATTATAGCACTGACTATTAATGGCAAGGAACAGAGAGCGAGCGGAGGAGTATAGAGCTAAGGCCAACGTGGAGCCCGACTTTTGGTACTTCTTATAGAGCCTGGATTTATTATTTTTTAAGTATGAAAAATACTTGGAAAGCCAGGGATGCTTGGACGATACAGGTACAGTGATATCTGGAACAAAAATGTATTACGGGCGGAGTAAGTAAAGCTATAAAACGAGCTAACAGTTGCATCTATGATCGGTAATGAATAAAGAAACGACCAATCAACACGTGAGAGATGTAGATCTAAATCGATAAAGTTTGTTTTGCGAAAAGACTTTATGTGACAAGGAGCCATGGAACTGTCAGCATCACCAGATCGGGTACACTCAAGGGATATCGACAAAGTTGGATGGTAAGGATCTTCAGGGAGTGATATTGGGCTTGCTCTAGATACCGTAGCAAGAGGAGCATCGTTAACATCGTCAAGAAGTCTGTCCCTACTGTTTTTAACGGCATTAATTTGGACAAGGGAAATATCCGTTAGCCCATTGATAAAGTCATTATGGCAATTTTGAAACAACAGGTTAGCGTCATCACAAGGCAGCCAAGAAAGAAATGGGAGGTTTAAGTCCCCCATGACAATAATTCGATCATTGCACCCTAATGCAGATACGACAGTATTAATTGCTGAGAGGTGGTGTAAGTAAAGCTCAGCATCAGACCAGGGAGGAATGTAAGAGCAGGTTAACTAGAAAAATGCCGAGCCAACACGAACTTTGACTGCAACAAATTCAATTCCATGGATGTTATTGAATGGGAATAGCTCAGATGAGAAAACAGATTTGACTGCAATCAGAACCCCACCTGCAAAAGATGGGCGGTCCATTCTATAAATAGTGTAACTATCAATGAAAATTTAATGATCATTGACAGAAGATATGTTCAGATTTGGCAATTTCAGTGTTTCATGGCAGATATTTCTTATCTTCGCTTTTGATGAGCCATCGGGGGTGCGATGCAGGCCGCCTTTTCCTATCATTGTATGCCTGGATTGCTGCAATATATATTGTGTCACGATATATGTACTGCTTTTACTGACTGCAGTGCTTGCACTTCTTCTTAGACTGCGCTACCGACCACTCGTACTGCTACTTCTTACCAACTCTTCTCCGATCTGGTATCCTCCTGCTCTCTTTGAGTCCGACAAAAGTTCGTCACCAGGTTGGCTGAGAGTCGAGATCTCACAATAAAACTCACAACAAATCCAAGGGCTCGCGCTTTTATTTCTGGAGGCTAAGTATTAGATTATTTCGATTGGATTGCTTCATTGGGTAGTTTCACTGCACCACTCTTTTACTCATTAGCACAATTGTGGCACCATTTGATTTCTGCACTTTTCGGCAATTTCTTTACAAAGCTTTCTGCAGTTCGTCAGCTTTCTCTTACTCTCTTTCTTACATAAACAGCGCGAGCCTCAGTTATCTCTATCTATATATATTTGCTATTAATTTACAGGAAACAAATTAACTTATTGGGAAAAGTTTAGTTTAAAGTTAATTTTTTTCTTCCCTTTCGTCAAATTACAAAAAAAGGGTTAAAAAAGTGTGATTTTAAAGATAAATTGTTTCTTAGTAAATGACTATGATGAACAAACAAATTTGTACGGAATTTTGTTTGCCAACAAAAAAAATACAAATTGCACGATAGCATAGCATTTGCGAAAACCGACTAGAGAAGTCACAAATGCATGCATTTTCAGAGTGCGGTGTTTTTTCTCTGGGTGCGTACGTTTTCTTGCTTTACCATGAACAAATTGTATTTTTTTTTGCGTCAAATAAAATACAATATTCAATAAAAATCGGTTTTCCCTGTTTATAGAACAAAACTTGATGATTTAAATCATCCGAATCTAACTGAAAGCTGGATTCGTAACGATTGAAATTGAGAATTTAAAGGTACTAGTCGATTTTAATATTTATTACCGAGCCCATGTTTAATGCAGTGTATGCTCGGTGTGGAGATAATGTTTTTTATCCCAATCGGCCGACTAATTATTTCGAATTAAATAAAACTCGGCGCAGAAATAAAATTACGATATGTTCTTTAATGCGTGACATCCAAATTGCAAGTGTGTATTGCCTGCCCTTTACATTGCCGCTCCGATCGCTAAGCGCAGCTTCGCTCGGCCGACGTCGGTAGGCAGACGCAAAGCGGAGATAGCGAAGAGCGAGCTGGCAGAGAGCGTTTAGCAGGACAAGCACGCGCAAAGCTTTAACAAACAAATGAGTGACATAGACATAAGTAACAAACAAAATAAGCGGCTGAGGGCCAAGAATTATTTGCTGTTTGGCAAGCAGCTAATCGGCTGGGTTCTGCTCCGAACACTCGTAATACATTCATTTCTATACCCGATACTCAAAATGAGTATTGGGGTGTATTAGATTTTTGGTGAAAATGGATGTGTGTAACGTCCAGAAGGAATCGTTTCCGACCCCATAAAGTATATATATTCCTGATCAGTATCAAAAGCCGAGTCGATTGAGCACTGTCTGTCTGTCCGTCTGTCCGTCCGTCCCCTTCAGCGCATAGTGCTCAAAGACTATAAAAGCTAGGGAAACGACGTTTTATATCCGGACTTCTGTGATATGTCACTGCTACAAGTATATTTCAAAACTTTGCCCCGCCCCCACAAAGGGCGAAAATCTGTGGCATCCACAAATTCAAAGATACGAGAACGAGAAAACTAAACGCAGAATCGTAGAGGATGGCTATATCTTCTAGAGTGCAAAATCTGAACCAGATCGTATAATTATTATAGCCAGAATCAAGAAAACAATTTTATTCTTTCTCGCTCTGTCTCTCTCTAACACACAGGTTTCATGGTCGGTTTTGCCAATTGCAAAATATGAGTTCAAGGATCTCTCATATCGGACCTTGACCGTTTTGTGTCAAAATTTCGCCACACCCCCTTCCGCCCCCGCAAAGGACGAAAATCTGGGTCATCCACAATATTGAGGATACGAGAAAACTAAAAACGCAGAATCATAGATAGTGACCATATCTATCACATTGCTGAATCTGGATCATATCAGATCATTTTTATAGCCAAAAGGAACAAATCAATTTGCAGTGGCTACGCAGCGCCCGACGTCCCGCTCAGACTGATTTTCTGTCTGTCTCGCACGCACTCTTTGTCGTGTCATTTAATATTAGCGACGTCTGCCGGAGGAGAGCCATACTGACTTAGTATCGGGTATAAATGTAGAGTTGCGGTGTCCGTAGCAACTCACAACGTTCCTCCTCGTTTTTTAACTATATTTTTTTAGAATATTTGTTAGTGCATGCAAAAAAGGATTGATAGATTTTGCAACTATAATTTTATATACTATATGTTATGTATTATATACTATAGACTATATGTTTTATATACTCACTTCTCCTTATTTTTACTGGAAACATTGCGTTCGATTCCTAACATCAAATCATCAAACCATTGAGCCATTGTGTGTTGTTTTTCAACTGGTTGTCCACAGATAATGCTCTCTTTTAAGGAACTTAAAGAACAAAATAATTCTATAATGTATATGTATTTATACGATTTTTTGTATTTGTCCAGATTAAGGCACAAGCAAGAAGAAATAGCTTCGGGTGACAAAATTTCTAACACCGTTGAAAATCAAGTTGTCAATGCCTTGCCGTATTTGTTAACTCCCGATGTTAATATCCCCTTGTATATAAAATATTATTCTCCTACCATTCCTATACGCTTAGCAGCTATTTGACAAAGTAAATCGATTTTTCGCGAAAAAAGTTTGAAGTATGTATCTACTACTGTATGCAGTATTCAAATATTTTTCTACATTTTTAGATATTGTTGAAAAAAAATGTTTCGATTTACTTTTGAAACCGCAAAAGTTTGTACTTTTTTAGTTTTCACAAAACGCAAGATTTTTTCGTTTTCAAAACCGAAACATTTTCCTCGTTATTGTTTTTACTGAAACATGTTTAAAGCCGCACATTCTTAATTCCGAAGTTTTGTCAGGTACACAAATTTTAAAAAGGACCGTTCGTCTCGCATTGGGCTCTTCACGTCGGAACACTTCACAGTGCAAGTTCAACAGGAACCGGAGTAAAACTGATTCTTCCCGCTTTCGCTATATTCATTACATGCTCGTATATTCCACCTTTTTCAGATATCTCAATTGATGAGCAGCACTTGTCCGCTTTAACCGCTGTTTCTTCCTCGCTATCAGATAAAGATCATATGATAGTTTCCAGGAACTGTTTGGTCTTCGGTAAACGAGTCTAGTAACCTAGTGCCCATGTCACGACATGACTTTGTTGACGGCTTCATTGACCTGTCCCTGTCTCAAGTCAATCATGTGAAAAATTCCTTGGGTTTCCTTGATTTGTGCTTTGTATCGGATCTGACCATAGTGTTGTTAACCCGAGCCCTTCCGCTCACTATACCTGAAGACGCCTACCATCCCACTTACGAAGTGTTGCTAGATATAGGACCAACTGTATTAGATCGGTCGAGTAGGCTATCTGAACATGACCGCTGCTTTCGTAAAGCCGAGTTTGCGAAGCTTAATAAACCCATTAGGGATTTTGACTGGTCTGCTTTGCACTTGTGAACTGATATCTTAAAAGGCACAACCATTTTGTACAATCATTTATCACATTTTTTGATTATTGTGCCCCGCTTTCTTATGCGACTAGATCTCGAAAACTCCCTTGGTCTACCAAAGAGTTATCCAGCCTAAAAAACTTAAAATCAAGACTTTATAAAAAATTTCATGAAGTTGGTTCACCTACTTCTCAATCTCGCTATAAAATAGCTCGATCAAACTTTTCAGATCTTAATGATCCAATGCTAGTTTTTCACAGGACCCAAAACAGTTTTACAACTTCGTAAACAGTAAGCGGAGAACGTCCGCACACCCATCCTCGCTATAATTTTGTAATACGTCGGCAAATAATATTTTGCCCAATTTTTCCAAACGACCTATTCTGAGCAAAGCATTTTCAGTCCCTTGTTAAATGAATGCTCTTTACTTCATGATCGTCGACCAGTTAAGCCGGTGTTTTTACCGGGTCCAGACGGGGTTCCAGGTTGTGTACTCAGGTACTATGCCGAGGCACTGTGTGGACCCTTGCTTAAACTAATCACCCTGTCCATTGATTCTTCTTGCTTCCCCCCGATCTGGAAAGAATCGTTTATAATTCCTCTCCATAAAAAAGGTAGCAAGTCTGAAGCAAAAAATTATAAAGGTATAGCAAAGTTATCCGCTATTCCTAAAATGTTTGAGAAGGATTTAACTCCACACTTGCAACATCTCTGCAAGTCACTTATATCTCCAGCTCAGCACGGATTTATAAGGCGGCGATTAACCACCACGAACTTGTTAGAGTTTACCTCTTTCATTATAAAAGGCTTTCAAGGTAACTTACAGACGGATGTTATTTACACCGACTTTAGTAAAGCATTCGACTCTGTAAACCATTCGCTTTTAGCACATAAACTTGACCTTTTAGGGTTTCCGCCCAACCTCCTGAGATGGATTTCTAGCTATCTTTGTTTCAGGTCTCAAAGAGTCCTCTTCAAAAACTCCCTCTCTTCAGCAGTAAGGGTTTTTTTTCGGGAGTACCACAGGGCAGTACCACCTAGGCCCCTTTGTAGAAAAAGAATTGAAATATAATTTAAACAGAGAAAACACTTCTGTTTAGTCGTTTGTTTTTGGTAGGAATGAATCCAATTTATTCTTCATAAACTTCTTTAGCCTAAAAGTACATAATATTCTTGGTTGAGTTTTGTCGCTAAGAGCAGCGGTAGAATGTTTGTTAGAATTTATATGCAGAAGGCATATACAATGGAATGCTCATTTGGCCACTTGGAATATATTGCCGACACTGCAGTTCTCACGCTGCAGGCCAGTCCACATACAAGTAACTGATCGTATTACAGCTCTTGAGTGCGGCTGTGTTACGTAAACATTGCGACAAAGTGTCTTTATGTTTATGAGCGTGATACTCTACATTAACTTTGGGCATATGACCACTTGACATATTGTATACACTACAATCCTGTGGGCATATGCTTATTTGGCATACAACATACTACACCTTACTCTTCGCACTCTTTATTAATGACTTGCCTTCGGTATTAACATACTCTCGAGTACTTATGTATGCGGCTGATGTTAAACTCTGTGTCCAGTATAAGGACATTTCATTTCATTCTCGCTTGCAATCCGATCTCAATAACTTTCAGTCATGATGTTGTGCAAACTTGTTACACCTTAATACCTCGAAAGGCAAAGTTATGACATTTCATCGTTATAACCCCTTGTTGGCTGCAAATACCCTCTGTTGTGGTTCTCTTGAGAGAACGTGATCTGTTGGGCCGCATAAACTTCACGATTTCTATTAGACCCACTAGAAATTTTAAACCGTTGTTCCTTCCACTTTGTAGATCGAATTTATTCCTTGCATGAACCGTTTAGGGTCTTATGCTCGGACTATAATTGCCTTTACCATATCATATCCACCACTAATTCTCTTCCTCTTATTAAGTTACTAATCCTCACACACCTTTCTAATAATTAGTAATTGTAGTGTTATTTGTATTTTGAATGCATGCTTAGTTCTCTTAGTGCTAATTTTCCTCGAACATTAGTCTAACAGCTATCTTTCCTGCATGCTCGCGTTCGGTTCGGCTACGCGCCGCGTGTCATGCGGCAGCGCCCATGACATGCAATGACTGCATCTTACAAGAGGCGATGCAGTTAATGCACCGTCAAGTGGCCCGTGTGACAGCTGAAGGCTGTTACACATGGATCCCAGCCAAAACGCAGCACTCCTCCCGCCAAACCGACATAAGGACGACGCATAACACGCGACGCGTAAACCGATTCGAACGGGAAATCCAGGAAAGATAGCTATTACACTAATATGCGAGGAAATTTAGTACTAAACTTACTTAGAGAACTAAGCATGTAGTCAAAATACAAGTACCACTGGAATTACTAATTACGAGAAAGGTATGTGAGTATTAGTAATAATTCTTCAAAATAATTCTTCAACGTCCAGCAATGAGTCGCTAAATTTTCTCCTGAACACCCACTTCCCTGGCTGCGACGAAGACAGACCTAACTACATCGCGCCCCCTTCTGTTTCCTCGACTGAGTGCTATCCTGAAACTGCAAGGTCAGGAGGACAATCAAAAGCTTTAAACTCTACAAGTCTGCGATACCAGAGGGCATCATCCCTACTCAACTGATCGACGCTGGACAAAAAGCCATTAATTGGCTCAAAAGGATTTACGAGGGAATCTTCTCCCACTGGTACATCCCTAACTCCTGGCTTCAGACCAAAGTCGTTTTCATTCCCAAGTCAGGTAAGCTATCGCACACTGCCCCCAAAGATTTCAGATTCATAAGTCTATAGTCTTTCCTTCTGAAGACGATGGAATAGCTGTATCTCATGGAGAGTACTTCGCCCAGTCTAATATCAGACTCCCAGCATGTACACTCCAGGGAAGTACAAAATACCGGCACTGACTCCCCCAAAACTCTGTGGGGAACCGCTAGCCCTAAGCAATAATGCGAAGTATCTTTGCCTGATCTTCGTCAAAAAGCTCGATCTTGGCCATCTATACATGTAGAAAAATCTTCGGACTAAAATGGGGAATGACAGCGTAAATAATTCGGCCACCATACGACCAATCATGCTCTATGTAGTGGTAGTATGGTGGCCAGCCCTAGACAAACGAGCTTGTCTCAAAAGACTCAGCAAAGTTCAACGCATGGCATACTCCAGTGGAGGCACTGAATACCGTGCTGGACCTCCTTACCGTAGATCTCATGGGAAAGAAGGTTGCAACCTTTCCGTACTCAAAATGAGAGAGAAGCCAAACTATAGAAAGCATCCGAGCTTGAGCACTCAGGAATCCTGATGTGACTCCCGCAATTACCAGAGAGAACGGATTACTTTGGATTACTATCGCTTCTCGCTTCCGGATCATTGTAGTATGTGAGGAGATTGAGGCAATCAAAGAGGCTATTTCTATTGTCATAAAACTCCCCCTAGACAGGCATTTATTGTGCGTCTTCTCGCACAGCCAAGCATCTATTGAAGCACTAGGCTCAATATCGTCAAACCAATCAGACCAATCAGCCTATCGTTCTTCCTCCTCGAAACTTTTGGGAGACTTGTCGGGCTAAAACTGAGGACAACTATAGACCCTCAGATGGTGGCAGGCGCACAGCCTACCGAAAAGGAAAATCCACGGAGACGGCACCACTTGAAGTAATCTCAGTGGTAGAGAAATCTCAGCATCTCAGTACCACAGCAAACAGGTCATCCCTCAGAGAGGCGAATGGCTCGATGGACTCCCAGGCCCAGATGGGGCAATAAACATCGGGCTCCAAGAAAGTCATTGCAATCAGGAAGCTCTGAACTGCCTTCAAACAGTTGCCGTTATGGCAACCTAGTTAAACATTTATAGCGACAGCCAAGCTGCGATTAAATCGCTAAATGCCGTGGCAAACTG